ACAGACTCGGGGTTTGTTTTCAATTTTTCACCAGCGAGGGGGCGGACACGGGGAAGATGAAGCTTCGGCCGTTCCGCTCGCGCGATTTTTGCCGGCCGCAAAAACCGCAGCGAGTCAATGGAGAACAACGACGACTGCAAAAAGAAGGCGGCGGGAAAGAAAAGGTTTCGCGTGGGCGAGCCACGCCCTCGCGTTCGTACTCGACTTTTAATAATCGGCACGATTTATCAATGCGCCGCGGCCCTAATTAGTAACCAAGCGCAGCTTCGGCCTTCTTTTTCCGACCCGAACATCGTTCTCTTTTCTATGCGCGTATGCCTTCTGGGTATACGGAGGAACGGGGCTGAAAGGAGAAGAAAAGGAAGCGCCGTTTCCATTATTCCACTCGTGGGTGGCGGCTGGAAATTGAAGAATCGGTCGCGGTGTGGGTTCCGCTTAATTGATTTTTGCTTAATCGCTCGTCTGCGAGTCGTCGACGTACGATAATGCATTCCAGTAAACGAGAAGAAGACGAGCAAATTTGAATGTCACAGATATATTTCCATGGTCGTTCGAACCGAGAGACTATACGTCCGAAATACTCGTAAGATAAGAAGTTGCTGCGGCTGAAAAAGCTGGACACCCGGAGTTTCCTCGGCTCGCCAGGCTTTTATCTAAAAAGTTTCGAACAAAAGTGCATTGGAACTGGAACAAAGAATTTTACCCCCGTTCTCGTCGTTAATCCACCCGCGAAATAGGTCTGTCGGACAAAGAGACTCCGACTCTTGCGTCAGAGTTTTTACCGAGTCCCCCGATCGCTAAACTCGTGGAACGGTAGACTCGACCTTGTATCACCGTGGCTGCGCGAGAACCGCGGCTACGTGATCGATGCGACTCCTGCGGGACTTTCATATTCCCTCACCCCGGAAAAGAGAGGCGTTCGCTCATTTTCATGATCAAGAATCGCAATCACGGAACCTAGCGCGCGTATCCATCCTTCTCTCCTCTCTTCCCACGAGCTTCTTCTTCTCCCCGATCGTCCTGGGAAGATCGGTTGCCGGCGATAGCGGCGAGATAGCGATCAAGGATCTCGAACGGCGGAGGTTCCATCACTTTCTCCCATCGTGTATACACCGTGTTAATAAATGTCGGGGACAATTCTTTCCTTTTTTTCCCTCGTACAGGAGAGGGTGACGTAACGAGGGGATCCTTTTGTCCCGCGCGCTATCTATCAGAGTCAACGTCGCGAGTTCTCCCCCTTTATTTTCGCGGTTACACGCTCGACGATATGAAAGTCGCGTCTCGGGCGCTGTCAGATTAATTTAATTCGATTGTACATAGGAAATTGGTTTCCACAACGTAAGAGTTGGAAGCTTGATTTACAATTAACGAAGTCGTGAGCCAACAATTTTATTAGAAAGCTATTAGTTGGATCGACTCTTTTCATTCGATACGGTACCGAGACTCGTAAACTTCTGTTATAAATTATCGTTACTAGCAATTTATTCGAAATAAGTATTAGGTGTCAAGTGAATAATTGCGAGTAATAAAATAATCGAGCTTGGCCTTGGGCATTAATCCGTTGGCAGAAGTGAATCGAGACCGCGACGAATCTCGTTACTGTTTTTCACGATTTCACAGCGTGCGCGCGGCTCGTTGCGTTATGGTGGCCATCGGCAACGATGCGGGATGAGTTCTCGTTTGTTCAACGAGCTTTCTTACCTGTGTCGCGAGCCTACTTCCGCGTGTCGGCGCGTCTATTAACATAACAACGAGCGGAGGAAACTAATCCCGTCGGGATTAGAGACTTTCCATCCTCCCAGCTGGCTGGCCTAACCGGAGTCACGCGTACCCGTGAAATACCCTTCTCGTGCGCCGCTGTTATTTATTCCCGAGAGTAACGAGCCTCTCTCTCTCTTTATTTCCACTCGTCTTAATTATGGAAACTTCGGCTTTCAAGTTTTTAAGATCTTACGACAGATTAAAATATCCATCGGGTCGCAGTAAAGTCTTAATCACGAAAGCTCTTGGTCTAAGATTTTAAACAACTTAGAATAGGACATCGTCGGGTTGAGTGTTTTGAGTCGGATTGTACGAATTGAAGAAAAATCGTCTAAAGTTAAAACGGTGCGTAAACCAGTTAAGTATTCTTAGCGAAGAAAGGGAACAGAGGCGGGTAACTCGTTCGCCACCCACGCGATACACGCAGGCATCGAATTAATTCCACGGATTTTTCCGCCGACAGTTTCACCTTACTTAGGGAATTATTCCAGATCGACTTCCGGTATAAAGTGGCCGATTTCTCGTTGCACAATGCGAACAAAATGCTATTCGATTTGACAAAGAACATGGAAAAATCTCGGGTTCTATGAATTTTCCGTTTGCGTCAGTTAAAGGGAAAGTCTGCGTGTGGCAACGCGGACAAAAAAAAAGTGGAGATTTCACAAGAAAAAGGCTTGGATCGATAATGACCGCGGATAATTCCTTATATCGCTAGTAATTACCGTGCGTACGCTGTTGCGATAAAGCTGGGATCGATGGATCGTAGAGAACGGCCGTCAATGTCAGTGATCTTGACTCGGATTTTCTGGAAATCGAAAAACAGCGTGTCTCGCCGAGGCAGGATGTAAAAAGAGAGTTAATGCTTGTCTTCCGTTAGAGTTCTCCCCTCGGGCCTCAGACTAAACCGAAGTTCCTTGACATTAAACTCTGCGTTCGAGTAAATGTAATAGGAACGAACTCGAAATTGAAATGAGCAAAGTCGTATTACGGCGAAGTCTTTGGACAGTTCGTATATCGAGGGAAGCTTACGTTCTTTGATATTAAAATGAACCAGAAAAAAGTTGGAATTGTTTGTAAATGGAGTGGCGGGACAAATGCAGGGATTAGGTAGTCTTGCCAACTTGGGATTCCACTTTCCGAACGATTGCACCTCGAACTGATACGTGTTCCGTATCGTTGGGCTAGGTTCTATTACGTAAGCCGTTGCCGGCCTTGCATTATAGCATCATAACCATTCATCCTGTCCGCTCACCTGCAATGCGCCACGCCGAGCCGAGCGAGCTCCGAGCGGTACCAGCCACCTTATGGCGGTACGATTCTCAATTTCGAGATTACCGAACGGTTTACACTTCTCTAACGGGTTAAATATTATTTGTAACACTTGTCCGGCGATCGTTTTGCCTCTTCGCGCGTGTAACATTGTCGGAACGAATGTTTCACGGCAGGAAACGCGTAGCCTAGAAAGTTACCGAGACGGAGACAATCGGTGTGTGTCGCAAAGGTGAGCTAGAAAAGCGTTGACGTTATTAAAATTGACTTGACCACTCCCGTTTCAAATTCGTTTGAAGAATGCCCTGAAATTTCGGCATAGATCGATTATCGAAATTGATTTCGTAACAGAGTGAAGCAATAGAAAGAACGTTCGCCAATATCAGCTGGACGTCTCTTGACGAATTTGCGTAATTCTTCAATTGCTATGGGACAGAGGATTCTTCGAGTGTTACACGTCGAAATATTTGGAACACAGAGACGATGTGACGCAAAAACGAACCACGTCAACAGGAACAGCGTCGCGGCACGCTTATGGAATTTCGATCGACCGTGCCGCGACCATGATTTATCGTTCATCGTTCCCTTTTCGCTTTGATCGTTCCACAGGAAAAATTGACCCTCGTGACGCAATAATTAGTCGCACTCGTCACGCGTTCATTCAGAATTTAATAACGTACGAAATTTTACGATGGATTGTCCTCACGCAGGATCGAGAGTCGAAGGAACTTGTTGGAGGAAATCGCACAATGGACCAGTTTCGCAATCCGTATAAATCATTCGTACGGAAAAATTGTGGATAGAGAAAGAAAAGGGATGGCGTTTGGTGAACGCCAAGAATCTCTGGACGCGTGTGCATACACGCCGATCCGTGGCGATAAATAATTTTCACCGTTCCGCTGTCAAACGGCCGCCTGTGGGTGTTCGCACGTAAATGATATATATTTATCCGCGGCCGATTCGCCGCGGCGATAACAGAGCGTAATCAATAACCGCCGGCCCGACTTAATATACGCCGGGAGAAGAAAGTTTTCCTATACAGATAACGGAGCCGCAAAGTGATTCCACCTGTAATTGGTTGGAATCCCAGAACCTATCGTTGAAATTTTCCTCCCAGAGGAAAGGATAGAAATTGTTTATTTTTAATTAGAAATTTTCTCCAACCATAAGAATTTCAATGTACAATAAAATAAAATTATGTTACAATAGAATGAAATATCGCCGAGCTGCATCTTACAATGCATGTTTAATTAACGACAGTTACAATGATAGTATCTAGGCTGCGTCCAATGTTTTATCTGAATTCTTATAGTTGGATCGGGCAAAGAGTGAGATCAAAGAGGAAATGCGGTCGCGTTGCTCGTGCGAACGAAATTAACGAGCGGTTAAAAGTCGATAAAACTGGAATCCTACGAGAAGGGATCTCGACGAGCCCCGAGCGTTTCGCGGACGGACAGAGGGTGTTTCTGCTTTCACTTCGCATTAAAAACCACGGGAAACACGAACGGTATCCAAAGGCGTTTAAAGCGTGCCGGAAACGCGCGTCCGCGTCACTTTTCTTCCTGCTGTTCAACAGTTCCGTCGTTTGAACAGTTTCAAAATTCGACGGCTTGGAAAATTTTTTATTATTTTCAAAAAATTTGACGCCTCGTGCCTTTGGTTAGTCGAGAGATAGTTATCTCCTATTGCGGTTCAGATTAAAATCTAAAATCTTTGTCTCCCGCGATATGTCGTAAGAAAACGTGAAATATCAGTCTGATTACGTCTAATTAGCCAACTATTTCGCTGACCTGATCGGCTCGAGATTCCGTAAGAATGAGTCGACGTTAACACGGCATTTCCCATAAATAGGTATCTCCACCCAATTATATCTACCTACTTATTATCCTCTAAAAGTCGGAATCGGCCTTAACAGTTTCCAAGTACAATTACCCGTTTCTTCAACAGTCGGTGTCTCCGTTTTGTTTCAGGTTCGAGATTTGGTAGAGAGGTGCACGTGTCCCACGCAGTTCCCGATGATCCGCGTCTCCGAGGGGAAATATCGCATCGGTGACACGAAGGTGTTGATTTTCGTGCGAATCCTCCGCAGCCACGTTATGGTGCGAGTGGGTGGCGGATGGGACACCCTCAGCCATTATCTGGACAAGCACGACCCGTGCCGATGCAAAACCTGTGAGTGCATCTCAATCTTCCTTTTCCTAATAGTTCGTGTCGCGCTGTTAAATAAAAATTACGAGGCTCGCTGGACGATTTAAACAAGGATGAGCTCATTCACGTCGAGAATAAATATGATCCTTTCGAATCTGTTACGTGTCTCTGCGAAAGCTGAATTTCTTGTTTATTTGAAATGATCGTGACTCGTTAGTCGCGCGAACGAACGATGGCGATTCCTCGCGTTTAAATAATACTTTTATCGAATTATAACCTCGTCCGCCATTCTGGACAGATGCAAATTACAGTTCTGTTAGTCAGTTTTCAATCGCACTCTCATAAAACGTTCGCGAATAAATTATACGCTTCTGAGGCTAGTAGTGAGATTATTAAAAGAGGATTTAAATGAAACGAGTTGAAGCATGCGAGTTTTTCTATCCGTGAATAGCAATCATCGCGTTAGGGCGAGCGCCCACTAAGTGGACTGATTAACAAATTGACAAACTGTTCCGGATACGCTTCAAATCCGATTATTGCATCTACCCTTAGGCTTTTAGTTATCGAATAAAACCGGGTAACAAAGACGGAACGTGATCATCTATCGCGCAATCGTATAATTCTTTTTATTATATAATTTTATTCCTGTTTTCCGTGCGCAGCGCATCGCTCGATGATCTCAGCCAAGTTGATACAAAAGGCTGGAGGGTCGTTCGACCTTGGCAGCGCGCAGGTGCATTACGAAAGGTAAGAGTAATTTTCTGGCTTCTCTAAGGTGTCATTTATCTGTCCGCGGTCATTCATTCCTCCGCGCCGAGAGAGATCTCTGCCTGCTTCCTACTCGATAGACGCGAGAAATTATATTGTACATCTCAGAGACGTTTAAACGATGTTTTTCGATAAATTTCAATAGCTCCAATGATAACTAACGGGGTAACTCGCCGGTTGACATTGCTTGAACAAATTCCTAACGTTTCACCAATCGCGGACGAGATATAATTGTATGAGGAACAGGCAAAGTAATGCGTTATTAAGATAGGATGTATAAATGACAGATAGAAGTTTATTTGAGAGACGCATTCAAGTAGAGTAGCATAGTTGCCTGTGCCCGTACGGTGCGAGAAAGAAACCCAGCTGCTGATCCACAGATCACCTCCTAGAACCCGGCGTAGTTCGGCATCGAGCGTCGGTTCGTGCACGGGCGCGAATCAGCAGCAATCATCGGCGCAGCTGCAAGCGGCCAGGAGCGTTTCCAGCAATCGGTCCCGATCGCCCACGCCTTACCAGTCCTCCGGCAAGCAGCACCAATTGAACGACGAACAACGAAAGACGAACAGGTCGAGGAGTCCGACGCCGCAGAGCAAGTACCTGACCAGTCCGAACCATCAACCCGATTTTGGTAAACAGCGATCGAGATCGCCAACCCCGAAACCTCAAATCAGATCCAACAGTCCGACCATCAAAGATCATGCGAAGGACTCGCCTATTAGAAATTTCCGAGAGGAGGACCGGTCGCCTACTCATCACGGAAAGCATCAGGAAGTTAAGGTAAGAATCATAAACGATAATTGTTTCCCTAATTTATTTATTCTTTCTTTTTTCATATTTCTACAAAAAAGATTTTGTGAATCTATTTTCCAGGATGCGAGGAAAGACCAAGAGGTCCGCACGAAGGTTCCTCTGACGGAAGAGTTCACGAAGCGATACGTGGTGGACGGTGGCGTGGCGCGCAGAGCCGTGGAGAAGGACGACACGCCGAAGTACGAGCCGACGATTTACAATTACAAGTGTCGCGAGGACTCGAGCAGCCGCAGTCCGACGCCCAGCCCGCCCGCGATCAAAGAGGAGCCGGTGCTGGAGAGTTTCGCGAAGGACGCGGGCGGCAACGCGAACTATACGAAGTCGCCGCACGACGGGGAGCACTCGGACAACTGTAGCGAGGTGTCTGACGAGGGTTACCGAAGTTTGGGAGCGGTGCAGTCGAACAGCGTGAACGGGCACCCTGGAACGTGCACGCAAGGATCGCCCACGGTTGCCGATTGTCAAAGTGAGTAGGATTATAGTACGTTATTCTCGTTGGATCGAAGCACGCGGGTATTTTAGAGTCGTTTTTCGGCGCGCGCGATCTCGTTCCTTTTTTCGCGATTTATGGTACGCGCGTGGGTCGCCACGCCTGTTTCGTGTCGTAATACGTCCAGCCGAGGATTCGTGAAAGTTTTTTGGTAACGCGTTAGATTCCAAAAATTTTCTCAACACGCGTCCTTCGGTCCCGAGCGAATTACACACGTTCTCTCGTCGATTTCGAAACCTGTTCGCCTAATTTGCGAGAGGAAAATTATTAACGAGTTCCATTAATCTTGTCGATAACCGACTCGCTCCGACCGTTTCTCCCATTATTACGCTTTTCAAAAATAACAGACAACGAGCGGTACTGGTATAAATGGCGGTAAAAGTTGTCCTCGAACGACAACGTCAAGTATAACGCGCGAGGGAAAAGAAAGCTAAATAGACTCGTTTACCAGCGGTACTTACTGGTCGTTTCATAACGCTGGGTAAAATCGTCCCGGGCGATCCGTCGATGAAATCGCGTGTCCCGCTGGGAAGAAAACGAGGCGACACTCGCGCGGATCAAAGCTAGTCATTCAGTTTAATAATATGCGGGTGTATCGGGGTCTGTTCTTAGCACAAAACTCGCCATTATGCGCTACGAACTTTCTTTCCTAACTTTTTTCGCTTCTCATTCGCTCGCTTTCTAACGCTGTACAGACGCTTTATATTCGCTATTACGTAATTTTTCAATTTAAACCGGAGAGACACTGTAGACACTCGTGGAGCTTTTGTTGCGGGCAAGTGTAAAACGATGTTAATACCAAGGAACGAGGGTTTATCTGTTAACTTTTATCTGAGATTGTCACGTCTGGAGGGATTTAATTCGCGTCTTAAAGCTCGATGGATTCGCGCGATACTGTCCCACCTTTTCAGCTCTTTTGTACTCGACAGCGCGCGGAATCTTCTTTTTCATCTCCGCGTCTTCTCTGACCAACTAGAGTACTTATGTACTCGGTACGCGATTCTTTTGTACATTATTGGAAGATTTTATTTCTCGTCGAGCTCGTTGAATTAACGCGAATTCTTATCGGTTCCCTCAGTGTTTGACAAAGCGATAGATTTTGAGCGAGACTGAAAACGGATAGAAAATCGTAGTTGTGAGCGCGTAAGAAGAAAGACTGAAGGCAATCAGACACGGAAACCAGCGCGGCGTGGTACATACGTGTCAAGTGCGAGAAGTATGCGTGGCGGAGCTGTGTTATCGAGGATCGACCGAGTGGCGATTGTTCCGTGGACAGGTTGTTGTTGAGGCATCGCCCACGCTTTTCACGGTACACGCATACGCGCGCCTCTCTCTTTCCCTCGCGTGTAATCCTTCACAGTCGGCTAAATGTCAGGCTGGTCCGCGTCTCGCGTGTGTACTTTGAATATTAACGAGCTACAGGGTGGTCCAAAATAGTAACGATCGCGGAAAGAGAAGTGGAACGGGTGCGTGGGTGGTGCAACTACCGAAGTCGACTATCGTTTCGAAACTGTTTCTTTTCAAAACACGATTATAGACACTCGGAGCTGTTCGATATCGCGCTCGTCGTGACGGATCACGCTCGATGATTTTATTCGAGATACTTTTTCTGGACGACACTCGCGAAAACTGTTTTCGGTAAGGAACTAAGAACAGGTTCTGGTGATTTAAAAAGCGTTTATTTACTCATTAAGTGGCTAACCGCAGCGCTAATAACTTTTTTCCGCGCAATAAAGTTACAATGTAATCGTTTTTTGCTCGAAGCACGGGCAGTCGTCGTAATTACGCAATCGTCGCGATTCCTTATACATAATTAAACTCGAGGAGTCAATCGTACCGAAGAAGGAAACCGTAAAGATAAGAAGCTGACGAATAAATTAGCATACTTTACGAATGATTTCTTAAAATCTGCAACGCATAACTTCATAAGTGGAAAAAATGGTGACGCCTCGTTTCCATCGTTCGGACAAATGTCACCGAGCAGAGCTAATTGGTAAGACCAACGAAATGCCACTTCGGGGTCAGTTGACCAACCGTGGCGCGATATAAAGAAGTCAAACACGATTATGCGACCTGTCCATTCGAGCTGCCCACGCATCCTCGAGTATCCTAAATCAGGTCCAAGTCCACTCGAATTCGCTTGAATAAACAGCGAGGGAACCGGTGACGCCTCTTCGGTTGACATTTGCGTGCAGAACTACGCGAATTTGTTACGCAACTAAACGTGCGTGAACATAGGCATTTGAAAGAACTCGCATTGTTTAAAGGAATCAAAACTTATTCGTTCCTTTAGCAATTCTATTCGTACATATAAAATAATAAATATTATTTTAATATTATTTTAATTTTTAAATTTCACAATTCCCTTTGCGCATGTAATAAATCGAATCACTGATCCATTTTTAAACGTCGTTTACGAGCTTCCTATGTTCACCTTCTGTTCAGAGCAACCTAGTAAAGCAGATACGGAAGAGAGGTCCTGCGTGGAGACGGATAGCATCGAGACGGGTCTGCGGAAGACCCGGATCGGTCCCGCGAGTCCTCTTCGCGCTTCGCCTTCGAGAAGCGTGGCCTCCTCCTCCGGGGACCGAACGCCCCGAGCCGGTTCCATCGTCCGCGAGAACAGCAACGTGTCCAGAGCCTCGTCGGGCAGTAGGACCCCACGGGACAGCAACTCCAGCCCCGAGGGGAGCCCGTTGAAACGCGGAAACATCAGGAACAGCCTGCGGAAACCACCGACGGGAAGCTTGAGCAAAGCCACCACGGTTATTCCGAAGACTTGCCAGAGTCCAGTAAGTGGCAGCAACACATGGAACGGTAGACAGGCTAGACAGAGACCCAGTATCCAATCGGACACATTTCTGAATCCTCAAACTCCTGCTCCCACCACTTGTGCCACTACCACTAGTTTCTCTAGGAAGAGTCCGGCTAGACAGAGTTTGCCCAGGCAAAGTACGAACGGCGGGATCCAATACGACAGAAACGGGAGAAGAATCAAGGCTGGCTCCGGCTCGCTGCAATCCTCGCCTACCAAGGTGGCCAACCCTCTTCTGGAACAGATATTCAAGCAAGTCGGACACCTGCAGGACGAGAGGGAGGTGTTCCAGAAGCTGCAGGACCTGTTGAGGGACTACCAGGCTCACGGGTCCGGCGAAGGTGTCGCAAACATGGAGTTCACTAGGGCGTGGATCGATGGTAACGGGACCGTTGCGTTGCCCCAGGACAATCAGATGACAGCTAGTCCTAGAAAGGATCCGAAGCCGGCCTCGGAGAGGGGCGGCTTCTCCAGGATACCGGCCCCCGTCTACAAGAGGCCGATGTCCGTCGCCTCTGACAGCGTGTGAAGTTTTCCTCGACGAATGGTACGGAGCGTGTCCCCGAGGTCATCGGGCTCCTCGATCGCGGACAGGACTCTCTTGTCGAGCCTCGCGAGTGTTACTTTCTTCCTCGCTCGTGACGCCCCCGATTTTCCAGATCCCGTAACGATCGCGCGAGACTCTACCTGCGAAGAGGATTTCTTTTTTTATCATTAACGAAGGTATGTTCGGGGTCCAGCTTGGACCCCTCATATTTATTTCAATTTCCATCGAACGAATTTATCGGGAAAATAAATTATCCGCGTGATCTGACGATGAGATCGAAGGCGTCCAATTGGACGAGAGCCTTAACGGGATCTGCAGGCGTACGGAGTCGATCGGTTAGCTCGTAGGAGTCGCGTGTATTATCGGGGTGGTGCTTGGATTGGTGCTGAAATTGTAAAGTGAACAAAAAGAGATTAAAGAGAAGGGACGAGGGTGATAGGTAGTTTAGGACGTCTCGTCGACGAACATAAAAACGAATTTCAAATGACGAACGGACAAGAGTTTCGAGCGAGCAATTAGCTGGTGCGTGCCGCTTGCTTTAATGGCTTCCCCGATCGATTTTGCTTCCGAGTCAAAGTTAATTGCACCCCGGCTGACAGCTCGTCGATTGATCCGAGAACGAGAGATTACGCACCTATGCATGCCGCACTTGCGTGCGGACACACGCGACCGAACTTGATTCTCATTTTTTACATGTCGGATGAGTGACTCTTCACTTTTATAATTTTTTTTAATTATTCTAGATATCTATATAATCTTTTTAACCGTAATAAAAAACGAGTGGATATTCTTTGATTAATTGGGTTTCTGTGAATCGTGTGTTTTCGTGAACTGCTTGAAATTTGATGAGCAAGAGAATAATGACGAGGTCGCGTGGCTTTTCTTAGGTTTGTATTGAAACGGATCGACGAGCAAAGATCGCGATCCCTCGACGAGGGATCGCGAGGCGAGGATCTCAATTTTGCGAGCCAGGATTTCTAAATACGTTCGATCGTTTGAGCACCGGCCAGATGAGCCGGGGAGAAATTATTTATTTATATAGTCTATCGGTTGTATTTATTGAAAGACGATTTATTTGCGCGTTGCGAGATTTCGCTTGATGGAGTGTGGTGCACGACGCAAGATAAACGAGAACGAATAAAATAAAGAATCTCGAGAGAATGAGAGCGAGAGTGAAAGAGAGTATGGAGATCCGAGTGGGATCTCTGCGAGGAGAGACAAAATCAAATTTTCACCCCAGGAAAACAGACTGCATTATTGTAGATAGCGACGCGTGACGTCGATGACAAAACGCCATTCCAATGTTTCACTGTTTTTTATACCAAACGCGAACGTAGCGGCATATTTTGTAATCAAGTGTCTTTTTGGCGGGGGACTACTCGGGCGGGACCTTGTTTTCGGTTCTCGCGCGTTTCGAAAAACCAAATGAAGAATAAGAGATCTGCGAGTTGCTCAATACGTAGAACGTTTCAGGGGAGTATCATAATATAGAATGGTTGATATCCAATTATTAAACGTCTAAGCGAACGGAAATGAATTTGCAATTTGCAATAGAAAAACTGTGTCAAGCATATTCTAAAAGAGAGGTGAGAGAGAGGTTCTCATAGGAAATCTTTTGAAGTTGGAACGCGCGAATGAAACGTAGTGGAAAATCGATGGTAGAAAAATGAGGCTGAAAAATATTTTTTATAATTGTCTATTACGGAACCGGATCATATCGCGGCCTAACGATCGGCCTCGAAGTTTCTTTTTCCTCGTAGTCTTGCGTCCCGTCTCCGGGACACCCCGCCGATATTAACAAATTAAGGTAGATGAAAAGAAGATGTTTATTTTGTTGACCAGTAGTGACGAAAGATAGAGGAAGGCGATTATTTTTTAGTGAGACGTGTCGCAGGCGCGTTTCCGGAATTCGTCGAAGCCTCCCCCGACGTTCGGACGACGCGCGCATTTCTTTCTCGATTTTGAACTGTTCGCTGTTCGCGACGTATTTTTATTCAAAATTGAAGAGCGGAGAGAGTGGTTCAAAGTAACTTAAATCATGGCACGTGTTCACCAATTGTTTTCTAGGATTGACAAAAAGTAAGTGAAAATACGAATCGTTCGAAGGGAAATAATAAGAATAACGAAGCACGAATGCTTCCCGTCCAAAGTCTCCAACTTAAACGTTCAACAGAGCGTCTCGTTCGAATGGTCTACTGTGAATAAAAAGAATAGAGGCCGCGCGTTTTCCGGAAGGCGTATTTTACAAAATTGCTCGTAGACTTTTAGATATCGAATGGTGTGGGGGTGACAGTAAACCCTTTTCGCGTTTTTTAAAGCCTAAGCTTCGTAACCCCAGGCTGGCGAGAAATAAACGGGATGCCGACGATTACCAATATTAATATTAATTACGACGACCGCAAGCCCTATCTCTATTATTCTGAATAACGAACGACATTACTATTATCATTGCGACGATAATTATTATTATTACGATTATTATCGTCATCGTCCGTGGGTGACGATGATCGATTATTACGATTATTATACGCATCGTTGAGTATGTTTACGTTATATCATTTTATCTACGAGAAGTTGTAAATTGAGAGAAAACTTGTATAAAAAAAATACAATAAAAAAAACTTTAACAAAAACAGGATGACCGATACGTTGAAAAGATTTTCTCTCAACGTACATTGCCTCCTTCCTAGTCTCCAAGATCACCTCTCTTCACTCTCCGACTCTCTCATTGACGATGAGTTCATATCCCAATCAGAAAATTACATTATCAATCCATACGAACCGTTTGTTCCAATGAATAGCGACCGAGCGATCGAGGATCCTTAATTGATTCGACTAAGAGCAGATACTAAAGCATCGGCTTGTGGAACAGTAAAGGAACGATTACACCCGGAGAACGGACTTCCCTTAACGAAGTACTTTCTCTGGATGCTGCAGCCTCTAAAGCGGAGGTAAACACGCGCATAAGGCCCGTTACGGGGCCCAATACACCGCGGTAATCGGCGTCCTTGCCGCATATGGCGAGACGGGTCTCGTTCTCGGACGCGGCAGCCACCAACAATGGGCTCAACAACGTGGCTCCGCATACGCGTCCTAGTGTACGTGAGTCAGCACGGCCCTCTCCTCCGTCTGTGTCTGTGTCTGGGCCTGTTGTGCCGGCTCGCTATAATACACCGCGGATCTCGGAAGGGAGCCATTTTTAAAACCGTCTAGAAGATTTATGACGGGTCGCGGTAGCCTCGATAATAACAGCGACGATTCCATCGTGGAATCGTGTACGATGGGAAATAATGGGGCCCGATTAGCCAACGTTTTGTACGTTTCCAACTTTATTGGCCAACCATTCGATTAGAGAACTCGTAGAATTTTTTCATATTCAACCCGAGTCGTAAACGCTCGTGTCCGAGCAAATTGTTTCGCATCGAACGCGTCGCGAAAAGTAATGGCTGTAATTAGAAAATCCGCTTAAAGCCTGTCTAATGATTCTCGTTTAACGCGGCGAAACGATATACCTACGAGCACGGGACGCTGCTCATTTCGCATTCCGCTACGGTACTCCGGGAATCTCATGGTTATTGCAGCAAACATACGTTTTACACATTCTGACGCAGTCCGGTAGCTTCTACTGTCGACTCGTCCAATACGATTCAGTCCATTCTCGTCGGAATTCTTCCTGCGCCGTCTAGTCATAGAATATGATAATTTTTTCGTCGGGTAACGACGAAACGATTCCTAGATACGGTCTGCGATAATAAATAAAGCGAATTGTGATTGATAACGCGTCGAGCGCAAGGTGTAACCCTGATGGGTAGCGATCGGCGACGATTTGTCAACGTTCGGAATTTTAACGGCACGGTAACTCGGTATTATGTTTCGCGTTTTTAACTTCTCCGGTATAATAAACGTTTCGAGTCGCTGCGAGGTGAAAGTACTCCCACGCTGGCGACCGACCTTAACTCGGGCCGAATCCTCGACGATTTTCATACGTGAAAATCCCCGATGGGACATTTCCACGAAATCTCAATTCATTTGCATAATAAAAATTAGGATAATATTTCATGTATCTACTCAATAATTGATTCATCTAATTACTGATATAATGGGTCAACGAAGGCCAGAGTCTAGCTCGGATACGACTGTTAATTTCTGGTAGAGGAGATTATTTATGGGCAGGCTTAATAACATCGTCCCAGTAAAGGGCCAATGCGAGATGATATATGAGCCAGTTAAGGGTTAAAATGTTCACCGTTTCTCGGTATACCAGAGCTCTCGTGGGCGGCAGCTTGCAGGTGCCTCCGGTTCCCTTTTTACACGAGTGCGTAACAACGGCCTACGCCCTTCGTAACCATTGCACCTTCGGGATCTTTACGATCCCTCGATCATTCCGTCGGCTCTCGTCGCGATTTTATATTCCTTTGTTTCATCCGAGCGATGGAATTCGCTTCTCATTCATCGAAACGTTGATAAATAGTTGGCCGTTAATCCCCTGATGAAATAGAGCTCTATAAAGATGGGAACAATCATTTTATTGACGTCCGGGAATTCGCATGTCGGTCTCCTCCGAGTATCACCGTTTATTATATGCAAATTCCAAGACTCATTTGATAATTGAGGAAGCAGTTGTAGGCAGTCTAATCGCCAACGTTAGGGGAAGCTAAAAGATGCTCGCGGTTGTAAAAGTATTACGCAGGGAGGGACTGTCCTACGTTGTCGTAGGTCTTCGAGTCACCGAGAGAAAGAGAGAGAGAGAGAGAGAGAGAGAGAGAGAGAGAGAGACTTTGAGAGCGTCGGATCGACTTCCTTGTGTGCACGGGAATCGAACTTTCTCGAGGAGACGAGCGTGGCACGATTCCCTCGAGTCTATTATCATGTTAAGTCGATTAATAGCGGGTCGTTGACATCGATTTGTCGTAGGTCGGGATCATATTTACCTGTTCATACTCCGAAAGAATCGTTACCAAAAATTGTCGATTCGGAACACAGCCTCGGCGCGATGCGTTATCGCCTCGGGCGTCGATCCTCTTATCGCGTGCGACACTTAACTCGTTCGTAAATCATTAGAGGGACTTTTCGTTCGTTAACATACCGTCGGTGGAATGAGCACGTTTCTAACAGTACTCCCCATCGAAAATCGAAATTTATCTCCTAAATATAACGGCGTGAATTTCTCGAACACCTTCCGTCTCCCAGGCCCATAACTCAACGGATTAACGATCAATAAACAATGCCTTAGCTCTGTTTTCTCTAATAACCGCTGGCGCGTCGGGAATCGCACCTGGCGAGCCACGCGTGCACGCGTGCGTTCCGCGTTAAAGGAGATCGTAATACTTACCTCGAAACGGCAGATGTGGTACACGACAGATATTGAAATGCATTGGATATGCAAATAATCGTGGACACCGACCGGTCGGTGCCTAGATCGTTGCTCGATCATTTGCCAGCGAGAAACGCTTCTCCCACGAACCCGAAGCCGTTTCTGTTCTCTCCGAGTGAAAATACGAGCTACCCGTTTTATATCATAATATGTTATCGCTGTTTACTGCGACTCGCGTGCAGCCGACAGGTTGTAAACCCAATCGATTGCTCGATACCGATTTTTCGTTCGGCCGCTGATTTTTACACCGGCTTTCCGGGTCACGACTATCTTAATGATCGTGCATATACGCCCCCGTTTATTAAATCTCATAACATACTGCCGAACGAGACGTTTAACATCGCGTCCTGATGGTCTCGCATTCAATAGCGATTGACGAACGTCAAACGTGGATCCCATGAACGTTGACACGGCGGAATTGTCAGTCTGGAGAGGTCGTAGTTCTCGGGGAACGGAGAAAAGATACTGCCAGGGTCACCGATGACAGGCAGGTAAAAGATGAGGCTCGCCAGTAGGTTACGTGCTTGCCATATCGGTCGAAAAGAACAGCGTCAGCCTTGGAGGTCCTTGCTCGCCCGAAGGCCTACCAAATCGCGAACGGCTCGTTGTCGGTTTTTACCTCTCATGAATTTTGCAGTCCGCGACAGGGTTAACTCGTGTAACCGCGGCAGTTCCTATTGTAACTACGCTAATCGCTACGACTAATCGCCTCTTTGTCGGCGGGGCCCGAATAGGAAAAGATAAATGAGGCTCGTTTTTTCAATTCAGTCGTCTCTCCGCAGCGTTTTTGTTCGACGTTGCCGATCGATAAATAAAATTGAAACCCGCATTGAACCGCGTAACGAGACAGGCCGTGAATTTTATCATCGCGAAAGCGCGCTCGCAGAATTTCGTAACGCGTTAATAAAGCGGCGACGCGAGGAGGACTTCGCGTACGGGAGTTCACGACCTTCCAATTAAAACGTTGACCCGAGCCGAACATCCGACAGCGAAATATGCAGTCGAGGGAAGCCGTGAATGGCCGCGCGGTTTTCGTGGAAAGCGAGGCGCCGCGACGCTAATGAGAAGTTAATGGCGCGCGGCCCGCGGACTCGTGTCTCGCGTTACGAGTGGCGTCACTTCTTCAGACTCTGACGACGAGCTGGTAAAGAGGCCCTCTCCGAGGACCTCCGGGCTCATCGAGAAAGTCATCATCTTCCGCGAACACCGGCTTTGATTACTAAAGCCTGATACCCCGTTCGTTCCTGGATAATCACGACCCTCCAGCTTGTCAGCGCTGCTTCACGGTTTTAGAAAACGATCGTCTCGGTACGCGAGGTACCTTTTTACTATAAAGACGTATCAATTCTGATAATTAATACTTTGGTAATTTGGGCACCAATTGTGGAAGATGGATCGTGGCAAAAATAGTCGAGTTTCGGAGAGGATGATTGATAGCGTTAATGCGGGTACGCTTAAGAGGCGGGACGATTTCAATTGTAAACGAACGGATAAGTTCTAATTAAAACGGTGGGACGAATGATTAATAGTAATCGTCGTCGAGGCTCGTAATGAACCTTTATCCGATGTTTATTGATGGCGCGGTAAATTGTAGTGTCTCGGGTGCAGTTTTACGCAACAAGGTTGCACAGCATGAAACATGGAATTGTTGAAAATAATAAGCGAACCGCGAACCGAGCCATTTGTTACGTCAATTTAAAAAATGATATCTGGATAAGAATTTCCTCTAGCTTAACGAGTATCGCTATCTCGGCTCGCGATCAATTATATTGTTACTATAATTGAATCGCAAGTTTCTCTCGTAGGAAAGCTAGTTCGGAATCGAGGAGCAGTTTTCTGTGATTCGTCGATGCAGCGAGCTGCACGCGATGGGACTCGCGTGAGCGAGAAAAAGCGGAAACGTCGCTTGGTATAAAACGAGTACGCAATATCGGGCGACGAAATCGAGGCGTGTCGCGCCGGGCATGCATCATCGACGTCAATCAGAGAACGGCGCGACGATCCCTGATCGAGTGTCGCCGCGCAGGTAGTCTGGTTAATTAACGAAACACGAGGCGTACGCTGCGTGGAAATCAATTTTTCTGTATCGGCCGACGTAATTGGAACGTTGTAGCAATTAAAATTAGCCGGACGGAGGCTTGTAAAAGAATCAGAGCGTTACAATACACTTTTTGTATGTAAGCTCGTTCGGCCGATCAGAAAATTGGACGCGTCATCGAAAGGAGAACGAATTCCGAGACCGAAGGATTAAAGTTCCGTTCT